TAGATCGTTCATGGAGCGGTTTCATAGCATTATTACAAGATCATAAACTAATTAAAAACGGACCATATAAATATATAAGACATCCAATGTATACATCCATATTGTTGATTGTTATTTCAATATTTTTCTTAACAACATCATGGTTGTTAACACTTACATTCTTATTTGTGTTTGCAACGGCAACTCTAAGAATACCAAAAGAAGAAAGTATTATGCTAAGCCATTTTGGTGATGAATATAGAGAATATAAAAAGACCACTGGAATGTTGTTTCCTTCAGCATCTTGTTGTTACAACTGTTTTTACGGTGAAAAATAAAATCAATAATCCATTTTCCTCAACAATATTTTATAATGATAACTACATCATGATAACAAGTTTACTAGGGCCTACAAAGTATGACCGTGTGGATATGACTGTCGATGTCAAACACGTTTTCATCTACATCCAGATCCACACTCACACCTTCATTTTGAAAGAAATCCATGTTGAACCATCAGAAAACAAGCACAACATCTTTTTTGTGGGAATGAATAATTAATATCATGACTTTTTGAATGCTATAGAGAATAAACCAATACGTAGTAAGGATATCATCTATAGAGCTACGGGTTCGGATATGTAAAAGCTGTGGACCAACAGCTCTTTACATTGTATATTACATATCCACGATTGATGTTGTTTACACTAAATCGAATTAAAACTGTTGCATAAAGTTGAAACTCTTTGGTGTTATCATCAGTTCTACGATTTGTATTGAGAAATTTCGTTTATCAATGAATTTTTCAATATTTTTTTAGTTAAGAAAAAATTTTATTCAACTGAGCAACATTTTTTGATTTGTTAAAACATGAAATAACTATACTGTAATGACAATGAGCGATATTTATTTTATTTTGATCAACCTTGAAGCACGGAAAGAGTAGCGTTACCCCTATCCTCAGTGTACGATGTTCTCTATACGATTCTATCATTCTAGCTCTATCCGTTTCATACAGAACGCCAGCTTATATATGAGAGAGAAAACAAGGAAAAGAAAGAAGCGAACAAATAAAGGACAAAGTTAGAAGGCAGCTACTATCATTCATGAGGTCAGAAAGTCTAATCGCAAAATGATCGACTACTCTCCCATCAATGAATCGATAGAAAATACGCATAGGTCGTGACCTTCGATATCGGCACATTTGATTGACTTTTTTCTGAAAGCAGTCAATAAATAGTTCAAGTTTTGATCCTTTAATTATTCATATAGATACATGCTGCTGGTTATTAATGTGTTCACATCTACATCCAAAAAAGTAACCTGCTGTCAACTGACTTAGTATACAGGTATCTTGGACATAGTGTATTCACTGTTGGTTTATGATTGTTTAAGTTGGAATTTTATTCTCTGTTAATATGTTGAAAGAAGATCTATAACAATATCTTGTTTAAGTTTGTCAGGTGAATTTGACATAAATAAAAACTTATTATGAGAAAAAACAGTCTAGAAATCCACCAACACTTCATCCGTTAGTTCCTATTTCCGTTTTCATTCGTATTCATATCTTGATCCATAGATGAAGATGTGCTAGTTGTATTTAATGTGTTTTGTTGCGCTTTCTTTTCGATCTCGCGTTTTATCCATTCATGTTGCAATAGAATTGGCAAACCAGGATTGAGACTTAATGTGTATGGTAATAATAGTTTTGGTATATCGCCAAAATCAACTATAACTTTGATAAACATCGTACCATCACGAACATAGGGATTGTCATCTTGTTGAATGATTGTTAGTGGCACAAATTTCGGTATACCAGAAGCTGTATTCATATCTGTTTGAGGTCTTTGAAAGCTACTTGATTTTACATCGGGCCGAAATGAATCGATAATATGTCGTTGTTGAGATGTTTGGTCAATTAGACAAAAGATTACTTTGAAACTGAATGGAAATTCAAGGATAGCATCATATTCTCCACGCATAAGTACGAAGAAAAGTGACATATGAGTGCGTCTAGCATTACCATCGCCAGCCAAATAGAGACGAAGTCGCATTTTATAACCATTCGGTGATGAATAGAATACAGGAGAATAAAAAGATATCTGTCGTTCAAACTCGGCATCAACTATAAATTCGAAAAACAAAATATAGAAATGAAAGATTCTATGTTATGGTTTATTTGAATTTCATTCTGAGACTGATGAATATTGTTTTCTATCAAATAAGATTTAGCTATGAAAAACAAAACTCTTTTTAACAAACCTATTTTTTGTTGAACATTGGTAATTTTCCACATAAGTTTTCCATCAGTAGAAATATTCTTTTGATCTTCAAATTGCTGTTGAAGTGAAGTAAGGTCTTCTTCACATATTTGTTGATTGGTTTGATGAGCATTGATTGATGAATGTGTTTCTTCTACAGCGATTTTTAGATTTGATACTTCCTCAGATAAAGATCGAAGCAAAGTTTGATGATGAAGTAACTCTGAACTAAGACGTTGAGCATCATCAGTTAATGCACTAACACCACCCAACAGCATATCTGTTGTTTCCAATAACTGTTGAAGATTTCTATTAAAAGTTTCATCAGTTTCTCTATTGATAGTTATTGTTGTACGAGAAGATATTACTAACTCATCATTTATTTGATGTTGAGTGTTTTTACAAAGATATTGAAGTAAAGCACTTTGATGTTGTACACTTAGAAAATGATCTTGTATATTCATTCGAAGAAACTAAAAGATAAAAGAACTTTGATAGTTAATAATCTTCAAAGAAAAATTGTCTTTAATACCTGTTCATTACAACCATATGGTTCTAAAACACAGTTCATACGAGCTTTTTCACAGATAGATATGTGTTGAGTAAGAGTATTGACTGTGTTGAACATTTTACCACAATGTTCACAAGAAGGATTCAAATGATCTCTATCTAAATGTTCCTGAGAAATAGAGAACAAATAAAATAGGAAAAACATCGAATAATATTACTTGATAATCTTTAAAAGTTCCATTCCAATGACAAAGTGAGCAACTAATATTTAACTTTTCCATATCGAGTTGGCAACCTCGATCAAAAATTATCTTTCAATCAAATAAAATGTATTGAACATAGTTCTAACAATCGAACAAGAAAAAAAGACTTAACTTACTTTATCCCTTGAGGACACTTGATTGCATATATTACATTTGATCTCAGACCTTAAATAGAAACTAGAAATAAGAAAAGAACTAAATATATGTACTGTTCGTCTATATAAACGCATGAGTGACAAAAGCGATGTCCACATGTTAGTTGAACGGGATTTCGTAATAAGTATGTACATATAAAACAGATATATATTATTAGAGAATCTTTGTTTTTGGCATCGAATCCCACTAATCTATTGAGGCACTGGAAAAAAACAAATAAAATCGTAATTTTAAGAATGATACACTTCAATTTATTCATAATTTAATGTTAAGTACCAGTGATAATGATAGACACTCAGCTTTTGAGTTTTGATCATGTTCACCACACATTGCACTTCTAGAATAGAAACAAAATAAATTCCTTTTACTGCATAGTTCAAAATAACATAATTTTGGAACTAGTCAATCAACTCTCTTCGAATGATATGAAAACTTTTCATAATGAACTTAACGAGGTATTTTAAATAAATGTCAGTAAAACCTTTTTTTTCTTATCTTATTTGTCTAATAAAAGACGTAAAACAATTAAAAAAAAAAGTTTTTTTGTTTTATGTGTCATGATTCAAGAAAATCTACATTCTATAAATTTCAATTGAAACCGGATCAAGTTAACTTTAAACAGAATAGCCACTACATATAATGTGAAACTGAACTAAGGTTTACAACAAACTAAAGTTCCTTATACAACAAGATGACTTTTGTTTTAGAAAAAGTCAGATGTCATACAGGCGAATGTGCGACATGCACTTCTGCCATACATATACATGTTAGTGTTTAATCTCAGATTGAGGTAACAGTTTTCGTTAAAACCTTCACTAATTCCTTGATAATGATAGGACTCATTTTTTGTCTTGTGGAGCTATGTAGAAACAACGGTATTCCAGATAATGCTATTGTCGATGGAAAAATTAAAGTATGATTTAGAAAGTTATGGATAAGTTTCTAAAAAAGTAGCAGCTTTTATGAAAAATTATTCATGAGTGTTTCAATTCATCTTTAATTCTTTTATCGATGATTGGAGTACTTTAAACACGATTGTTTCAACACATTTCACCAACAAAGATTCTAATTCAATATGTATCTAGGGACTAATGGAGGTTTTAACGAAAACTTTTTCTTCAATCTGAGATAGGACGCTACAAATATACATATATTAGGAAGGAAAAATCTAAACCAGTTTACTTTTGAACGAAGCAAAACAAATTTCTCTTAGTTTTTACTTCCTTCACTTGGATTTAAATCAGACTTGATCTAGTCTCATGTCAGTTGAACTTTATATAATACAGGTTTATCGAACAGCTTGAAGCAAAAAAAATTATTCTTTTTCTACTATTTAAGATTGTTTAATAGACAAAAATAAAAGATGTAAAAAAGATCTTATATCAACCGAACACTGATGAATATCGATTTGACAAGTTCATATTTTGTTTTCGGCTTCTATACTTTTCAAACTATCTTCAGTTGAATTTGGTATTAAAGAAGAATAACTGAGAATGGTTCTAAGAAAGCGTAATAAATTACATTTTCACTAATGCGCACACATAAGATGTGAACTTGACTGTGGATTAGAAAAAAATAAGCACTCCCATTGTCAAGACGTCATATGTAACGTATATTTATATGCAAGGACGTCTCATACTTCCATGAAACCCTATACAAGTGACTCACTTCCGATCTGAAGGTTTTCAACATATAAAGTACATCATATAAAAATATTTATTTTTTATCATGAAAAAATTCAGTCAATCTAAATTCATTAGCAAAAGAGTTGGCAAGTAGGAAACTCGTGTACCACCGAGTGCGCTTCCACCTTTAATGATTGAAAATTATTCATTGACAATCAATAAAATTACTAGCATTTTTTAAATTTTTTACCACATCTATGAAACATACATCCTACAAACCTCACTTCCCGTCAGAGTCAAGCGATATTTTTATAGATATGGACAGTCACAATAGACCTATGCGATTCTTTAGTGGAAGAAAGAATTCATTGAACTTACCTTGTTCTTGCAGGATATTCTTGTTGATAGAATAATTATTCAAGTCTAAAAAATATTAGTCTGAAAATAAATTATAATAGTGAAACAAACGAAAGAATATTTTCTTTCTTGTCAAAGATAACACCATCTAATACATAAAATAATTCAAAACAATAAAATATGGTACATGTTGAACACAATAAAAAACATAGATAAGAAGTCTTCCGTTTATTTCATTCGAGCAGCTCAGTATTTTATTCGAATAATTGGATATACAAAAAAAAAAAATGATGCACGACATTTTGTTAAGAACCACTCATAGTACTTACCTGACAAAGCCTTGAGCAGACTTGGCTTACCTTCAAAAATATTCATGTCCCTTCTGGGAAATTGGAAGTGCTATCAGTCGTAATGTGCGATTTTAGTTTCTTCGTAAATTTTTTCTGGTCGTACTGCTACTCGGAATTTACTTAGATACTGATGATTCAATTTTAATGGCTCTGCAGCAGCGGCGATTGCTAAGTTTAATATTGAAGTATTTTTTCAAGAATAAGAAATTTCTGTCTCCTTCAATCTCTATTATTAGAAATTTGACTGATGAAAAATAACGGAAAAATGTTCGATCGCATATGTATACATGTCAGCGGCGGCGGCTAAATTTGCTTTCTTACAGCTGTAATTGCTGAAAAACTCTTAAACTTAACTATGATTTGGTGGCGGCTGAGCTGTATGGTTTACAACTCTAGATAACTCTACGCATTGCCAAGAGAAATTTGCAGTATTTATATTACATCGAGATTGCGTTGGTATTTTTTTTGTGACATCATCATATCAATAAGAAAAGAAATCCAAGAAAACTGGGTATAAACTTTGTTTTCCCAGTCTAAAATAAATACTCTTATCTAATGGCTTTTTTTTACAGATAAACTTTTAAATAATGTTTCTCTTAACATTATTGTTATTTTCCACGGAATCCTCCATGGTATAGATAAAAATATAAAAGACGCATATCAAGAAGGGTGTGGGTGTGGATATGAATTAAAATTCGATGAGAGTGTAGCTGTTGATGGGTGTGTGGTGCAAATGTATATTATCTTCTTGTCCCACACGCACATTCCGTCTACTGTTAATAACATTTTGAAAAAATATCTATACATACGCATTTGGTGTAGAATGTTAAATGAGAAATAAACTCTTAACGTCATTCGCAAAGGATCTTAGTTAATTCAAATTATCAATAAGATTTTGATCAATCAGCTAAACATGAAAGAAATGTTAATTAAAGATCAGATTGAGTTAACTTTATTGTGAAACTTTTCTCATTAGTTTTTTTTAAAAGAGGATTTAGTAAAGAATGAATAACATAACTACCATTCAAAACAATCAAGTTTATGTCTCATTAAAACGATAGAAATTTATTTTTTCTAGTTTTAGCACAAAAAAAAAAATTTTAGATTTTTTGAGTCATTTTTTTTTAAATACCATTCTATTACATTTCGTATGGGTCTTAAGGCAGTCAAAGAACGGCAATAAAAATAACAGAATTATTTGTTTCTCTCTTGCAATGGAATTACTATGACTCAAAAAAAATAGAATGATTGTTTTCTTTATGACAGAGATGAAGCACACTAATATTTACCTAACAGAGAGGAACTAATACGCAGTTGAATATTTGCACGAGTATTATTTGATGATTGAAAACTGAATTATATATATATGTTTTTAGAAGCTGAAGCTCGATGAAAAACTAATACTCAATATGATTGATAGTCAATACAGATATCTAAGAATACTGATGATTTTTCATAGCGTGATTGTTTATGATATGTGATAATTAACATCAAGTTACACACTTTGAAACTATTTGTTGTCTATTGAAAATATAAAATAACAGTATTGCAAAAGTATTCTCATTTTCATTTAGTTCCGCATTGATTTTTCAAACTTGATAGACTTATTTCTCAGCTATGCTTAATATTGATCATATGAAAGTTATACGAGCATTTACATAGAAAAAAAAAATTATATTGAGACTTACGAAACGGATTCATTCTTGGCTAGCTATCCTACATTGTCTTTAAGAAAAAGAATTCATACGAATAATTTTTGATTTTATCAGATTAATAAGTCTATATGAGATGGATCAGATGTAATGACTAATACTCGATATATATCGACCATTCAATAATAATATTCTGACAAATAGACGGAAGCTATTACGGCATCTTGTTCTCATGACGAAAAACTTGTTAGTATAGCTCTTTGGGGCTGAAATGTGGAACTGACATGTTCTCCAGTCTCATTAACTCTTTGACTGTCGCCGACGCATATATGCGTCAAGAGTCTCGTCTTTGCAAGAACTAAAGCAACGATTCATAATGTATGTTTTTTATAAGTATTTGCATAAAAACAAACCTTAGGCACCATGCGCTTCCAAAATCATCATTTTATTAAGGCACGCTATAGAATTGTTTCATAAAAAAGAAATAAATTTTCTGAAAAATCGTTTCTTTCTTCTCTTATGTCAACAGCCAAAGGATTAAACTATAATACACAATATGTAAAGTGAAAAGACTCTTGTAAACTATAGTTGTTTTGTAGGATAATCATTCATATTCTATGACATGATCTTTTGATATTTTAAACTAGTCTAACCTAAGATCATTGGAATCTATCTCTAAGAGAATTGAATTGTCATATTGAATGTACTTCAATATTTTTATAATAACGATGGGACAAGAAATCTCTAACTGTTCGATTTTTGACTGATTAATATCATAGTTATAGATTATATATTTATGAAATAAGAACCAAAATGATTATAGTGTAAACTATTTATATTGCATATTCTCATGATTATAAGTTTTCGGTATTTGTGAG